AATATAAAAACAAACTACATAAACCAGGTGTGGTGGTGCATGTTTGTAATCCCAGGAATCAGGAAGTGGATCAGAAGGTGATTCCAAACTAATTAGTAAGACCCTGCCTCAAAGGAAAAAACCACACAAAGAAAAAAACCCCACAAGACACAATTGTGATTGAGCCATTTTGTGCATTAGTCTTAGCATCTTAAGTTATCTTTTTAAGGTTAAACAATTCTTTCCTGTCTTCTGACCAGATGTGATGACCTGTGCTTGTCTATCATCCTACTTAGGAGGCTGAGTCAGAAATACCACTTAAGCCCAGGAGTTTGAAGCCACTTTGGGTTACATAGTGAGATGCCTTCTCAAAGTAAAAATAAAAAACCAAACCTCATGTGTTCTTGACTTGCTTAGGTTTTTTTTTTTTTGTTTTTTTTTTTTTTTTTTTTTTTTTTGGTTTTTCGAGACAGGGCTTCTCTGTGTAACTTTGGAGCCTATCCTGGCACTCGCTCTGGAGACAAGGCTGGCTTCGAACTCACAGAGATCCGCCTGCCTTTGCCTCCCGAGTGCTGGGATTAAAGGCGTGCACCACTAACGCCCGGTGAAGTATTGACTTTTTTAAAGTCTGAATTTGCATAGATTTGAGTTTATTCAAAACGGGGTCTTGCCAAGAATGCTGGAGCTGCTTCTGTGAGCATTCACTGTTATCACTGAACTCCCATAAGTAGCTGCTGTCCTGTAGATTTCACAAGCAGTGATCCGATGCAGCTGGCACTCAATTCCAGTGAGCCAAAAAACTTAATTAATGGGATAATGGCCTCATTAAAATGTTTAGAACTTTTTTTTTCCTGTGCTTCTTCTCCCCCTCTCCAAGAGACCAGAGAAAAAGAATGGTGGAGATTGTTCACTTGAGACCATGCTAAGCTATTGACTGGTCTTAGGGCTGGTCTAATGACTCTGATTTCCACATGAATCATTCAGGCTGTGCTGTGATTTTATTTCCTCTGCTGGTTGCTCTCTGCTGTTAGTGACAGTTTCCCAGAGATCACTGTATGACTTTGGATTGTCAAAATTTAAATATGCCCCCACTTTATTGTCTTATAGAGGTCTTATTATTTCGTTTTGAATACAGTTGATTTAGCAGACAGATACTGCCTGTCTGAGCAGGTGATACATACTGGTCAGGGATGAAAGAGGAAGATCAGTACTTTCCCATCGATGTTTTCTTCAGCTGCATACTGCCTGTCAGTTGATCCTGCTGGTATGTAGTTTGTACTTGATAAGAATTTTTTTTTAAAAAAAAGATGCATAATTAGACACAGATAGTCAGAATCAGGGAAAATCAAGAAGAGTGAGGAAAAAAATCATTTTTTAAATATGTGATCATCAACATTAAGACACTACTTTTGAGAAAATTGGAAAAGTTTTTGTTTGGGATGTGTATATCCGTGTATAATTTGATGTAGGGTCTCAATCTTCAGCCCAGCCTAGCCTAGAACTCTGTATCCCAGGCTAGCTTTGGACCCACAACAGTACTACTTCAGCCTCCTCTGAGTGCTGGAATTTCAGGCTTGAGCCACCATGTACAACTTAGAAAATACTTTAATTTTATTTTAATGGATGAGAGAATAAAATTAATGTATAACATAAAGTTTCCAGATTTTGACATGTAGAGTTTTTTGTTGTTGTTGTATTGAAAAATATGCTCTGAGGTTAAATTTCTAGGAACAGAAAAGCAAAGATCTAAAGAAAAATAATTACCTGTCTTAGTAATTAACTTTCTGTTCCTGTAATAGAATACTTGTTATAATCAGCTTAAAAAGAAGAAAGGTTTTTGTTTTGTTGTGTTTTTGTTTTTGGCTGGCAGTTGTAGAGGTTTCAGTCCATGCTTAGTTGTCCTGTTGTCTTTGGGCCTTTGGCATGGCAGCATATCTTGCCAGGATCATCCTCATGACAGCTGAAAAGCAAGACAGGAAGGAGATGGGTTCCTGCTGTCTCCTTTACGGGCATACTCTCAGTGATGGAAGACCTTCTATACCTTTGCAAGGTTCCACTACCTTCCAGTAGCATTGAGAACCCAGCCTTTAACACATGAACCTCTAGGGGACATTCCAGAACCAAGCCATAGAATTAGCCAAATCTTTGTCTCTTCTTCCATCCCGAAGTGTGGTTGGTGTACAGTGTGCTGGAACTGTGGCAATAATAGTTACAATGATATGCAGAGTCTGTGCAGGTCAAAGGGTAACTTGTGGGAGCCAGTTCTCTTTCCACCAGGAGAGAGAGAGAGCTCAGCTGTCAAGCCCCTTTACCTGCTGTGCAGTCTCACCAGCCCCAGAGCCTGGGTTCTTTTCTAAAATATATTGGTATTTGATGTGTATGAGTGTTTTGCCTAACCATGTGAATGCAATACAGATGGAGGCCAGAAGAGATGACACTGGATCCCCTGGATCTAGATCAACAGACAGTTGTGAGCTATGTGGGTGCTGGGAACTGAATCCAGGTCCTCTGGAAGAGCAGTAAGTGCTCTTAACCACTGAGCAATCTCTTTAGCCTCAGAGCCTTGGTTCTTAATGATATTATTAGGCTGAGATAACCTTCTCTAGATTTCTTGTTAAATATAAAAATAAATTTATGGTGATAGAAGGTATTTAAGCTTTTATGCTCCTTGTAGCAGAAAGCATTCCTGTCTTAAATGTAGCAGTTTTGGGCTGGGGATGTAACTCAGTAGTAGAACTCAGGCCTAAGAAACTCTGAGTTTGATTTCCTGCACTTCAAGAGAAACAATGTAGGGGCTTTGATGTAAATAAGATTGTGTTATTTGTGCACAGAGCACTTCAGGTCTATGGTAAATGTCAGGAGGTGAAAGGTGACCTCTAGTCACACTCTGAACATCTTGAACATTACTAATATGAAATAATCGAGTGTAAATCATAGTTTCTAGCTGCTCTGGCTATATGCAGAGTCTTCCCACTGTGCACAGCTTTTAAAGTGTTAATTTCCCCAGGCCTAGAAACCTGAACATGACAGAGGCAAGAATTGAAGCTTCAATAATATGGGAAAAGTGGGTATGAGTAAGAGTGAGTGGGAAGAAGTCCTCAATTAAAGCATGAGTGAGGAGAGGTGCTCCAGGCTTCCAGCCAGGGCTGGCCCTAGGACACCCAAGTTTACGACAGCTTCGGGCTTTTGAGTTTCAGCAGGGGAAGAAGAAAACAAGACACTAAAATGACAGAGAGGAGCAGCGTTCAAGGCAGCCATTGAACGCTTACAAGTGTTAGAACTCCGTGACTCACGTATGGAAGGTGCACAGGGCAGCTGTGCCCTCTACACACTTAGTACAATCCTGTTAAAATTTAGATTGCTCGTCGAAGTTAAATTGTTTGGAAATTTGTTATTTGGTAAGTAAAATTTAAAGTGTAGTCAGACAAGGAAGAGAGCAGAGGGAAGAAAATTCAGAACTTTGTGGGAGCTAGTAAGAAATTTAAGTGTGTCAGATGAACAAGGTAATAGTTGCTCCTATTTTAATTTTATCATTTGCTGAGATGGACAAGGCAATGCCTCATTTACACCCTTTTAAAGTTACTTGTGAGGGCTCTCAGATAGATCATCTCAGCAGACTGTCCATTAATGAGAACCTTTGGCAGCCAAGGAGCAGGAGGAGCCCTGCTATGCCTGTTAACTAGTTTCTATAACTGACAAGAATGCTGCTTACGGGTAATGCACAGGTAAGTCAGGAAGCCATAGTTTTGGGACACCAACTCATATTCCCCAGAAAAATGTATGTGACTTATGACCTGTCTGTTCTCCGATGTCTCCTAACCTTTTTAAAGGTTTATTTAAAAAATGCAGCTATGTGTGTGTAGACATGTGCATGCAGTGCACTTGCCTGCAGAGGCCAGAAGAGGGTGTCAAATCCTCTGAAGCTGTAGTTACAGGCTGCCTTGGGTACTGATAACTAACCTAGGGTCCTCTGCAAGAGAGCACAATGTGTTCTTAACCTCTGAGCTATCTCTCCAGACCCATCTTCTAACTTTTTATTGTTGCGATGAAAACTCTTTTACCAGGAAAGAATCAATCAAACATAACATAAACGAGGGTTACTTTCTTGAAAAAGGCCAGTCCCCCTCCCCAGCTCTCATGTTTACTTTTTTATTTTTCTTTTTGAGATAGGTTCTCTCACTCTGTAGCCCTAGTTGGGCTGGAACTCATTTTGTAGATCAGGCTGGCCTTAAACTCTCAGAGATCTGTCTACATTTGCCTTCTGAATGCTGGAATTAAAGGCATGTGCCACCACGTTTACAGTCTAAACCAGAGTATCTACTTCTCCCACATCCTGCTTTAAAGGAAGTCTTCATGCAGAATCTTCCACAAAGCCTCAGTTGTAAGCACATGCTGACTTTAGCAAGCTTACTGGTGGTCAGGTGTATATCCATGGCCTTTAGCATGGTCCCTGCTTCTCTTAGGTGTTTAGTGAAGCAACAGAGGAGAAACTTCAGTGCTGTTGTTCTTGTAACATCACCCTTATTTTCCTCTGCTTGCCATTTCCTTTCCTTCTGTTTTCTTTTTTCTTCTCTTTTTGAAGAGTTTCCCTAAGTGATTTATTTTATTTTATTTTTTTAGTTCAAATTAGGAACAAGCTTGCTTTAGATGTCAATCCCTTCTCCCTCTCAATCCAAAGTTGACAGCACAGCTAAAGTTTCCAAAAATTCAAATTATATATGTATATATATATATTTATATTTATATAAAAAGACCAATAATGGCAGTATGTTATGCATCAATGGCAGCAACAGCTTTTCCAGGTTCTGCAGTCATTTGAACAAAATTGTAGAGACATCCAGCACTCTCCATTAAAAACAAAACAAAACAAAAAAGTAAAAAACAAAATCCCAGAAAACAGCACCTGGCACCATTTTATTTTTTAAATTAGCTACGGCCATACCACCCTGAAGGTGCCCCATCTCGTCTGAAGCTCTTTACTTATGCAGTTCTCATCTTAATGTTTCAATTTCTCCTTCCAGATAATTCAAGCTCCATTTACAAAACTCCCATGAATCCTGGTTTTACAGCCACCAAACTTCCACATAGTGTGAGATCCCCAGTTATTTCCTAAGAGCATGACCCCTTAAATATTCAGCAGAATCTTGCCTCCTTTCCTGATGGAAGACTCTTAGTTAACTTTATTATCTCTCATTTAACCATTACACTGTGGAGTTCCATCCGCATATGTGCAAGTTACATGCATGCATGGCTTCTATTATGTTAATACGCATTAAACATATAAAGTACTTGAAGATATAATCCTACCACTGCACTGCATTCTCCAAACCTTATAATACCACAGTGCTAATCATTATCTATATAGCAATAGGAGCAACTACCACCATATGCTAAGGACTTACTGTATGTCAAACATTATGCAGTAACATGCATACATTATCTTATCTTGACTAATATTTGTAAACCCTCAACGAACCTGTTGTATTTATCCATTTTGCATATGATTTATAGCGATAAAGGTCTAGTAAGTTATATAGTTGTTTCAAGGAAGAATTGTGATTAGAACTTGTATTTACAGTGTTACATGATTCCAACCTTGAAATGCCAGTAATTAATGTAAATATTGCTTGAATGAATTCTTTGTGTTATGCTATCAAACTGCCAGGTGGATTGGTTTAGAGCTGTCATTCATTCACTAAATATATTTGGATACCTCTGTGACATTTTTATTTGAAATAAACATTGAGATTGGGCAAAGAAGTACTCACCATTCCCTACATCCAGTTATGCCAGCACCATTTGTTGAAGATGTTCTCTTTGTTCCAGCGTATATATTTGGATTGTTTGTCAAAAATCTAAGTGATTTTTTTTAAAGAAAATAATATGCAAAATATTTTTATTTTCAACTAGAGAAGACTTCTCTTTTGAATCTTTCAATGTGTCCAAGTTCTTTATATCTGTGAAAGAAATAAAAATACTGATTTTTAAAAGATGGGCTTTCTGAAAAGATAATATTTGAGCTATGGTCTTAATAAGAAAGATAAAGTATAGTTGGTGGCAAATGAAAATTGAGTCTAGACTTCTTGTTTTGTTTATATATTTTTGTTTGTTTGTTTTGCCTTGTTTTTCAATACAGGGTCTCTTTGTGTAACAGTCTTGGCTGTCCTGGAATTCACTCTGTAAACTGGGCTGGCCTTCAACTCACTGAGATCTGTCTGCCTTTGCCTCCCAAATGCTACTACTAAAGGCGTGCGACACCACCACCTGGCTTGTTTATATTTTTAAAAAGGATGTATTTATTTATTCATTCATTTTTTAAAATGTGTATGTGTGTGCCTGCCTGAGTTTAAATACACCACATGTGTGCAGGTGCCTCCAGATGACAGAGGGCATACATTCCCTGGAACTGGAGTTATGGGTAGTGTGAGCCATCTGATGTAGCTACCTTATAAGTGCTTTTAAATGCTGAGCCATCTTTTTAAAACAGGGTCTCATTTGCTGGCTTGACTATAAAACGTCTAGTTTAGGCTGGCCTCAAACTCATGGCCATCATCCTTCCTCATCATTCCAAGTGGTGTGGTTACAACTATGAGCCACTACACCAGCTAGGGCCAGACAGTCTTGCCTTCCATATTCATTTTGTGATTTACCATTCTGACCAAAATACTTTGACTCTTACAAACATTTTCTTTTCATTGATAAAAGAGAGCAATGGCAGTGAGAAAGTTATTTGGTATTTTTTTTTTTTGGCCCCCTTTGAAGGTGATCAGGCACAGGCCTTGGCTTGGCAAATAGAATGTTATGAGCCAGGCTGGGCCCACTGCCATGTCAACCCCAAATTAACACACAAGACTTAGTATTAATTATAATACTGTTGGCCCTTGGCTTGGCCTTCTTATTGGCTATCTCCATCTTAATTATTAACCCATTTCTATTAATCTAAGTATTTCCATGTGGTCTTATCTTACCAGAGGAGTATAGACCTGTTACTCCTTTTGCTTACTCCATGGTGACTGTCTCTGCCTATATTTCCCAGAATCCTCCTTGTCTCTCCATCCTACATCCAGCCTCATTGGCCACAGTGCTTTATCCATCAACTAATAAGAGAAACGCATGTACAGAAGACTTCCCCATCAATAGAGAGCAGAAGATGCCTTTTCCTCCTTGTCCTGCTAAGCCCACAGTTTCATACAGGGCCTGACTCCCAAGGGGCTCTCAGGAACTGTCCATTGAAATACTTTGACTTGGAAAGAAGTAGGAAAAACATAAGACAAATGTGACTTCAGCACTCATAAAAATGAAGAAGCAGTTTACTGTGGGAATATATTGTTTTGTTTCAAGAGATTTGTTGTCATGTGACTCATTCTAGCTTTGAACTCACAGTCCACTTGTCTCAGCCTATAGGGTGCTAGAAATATAAGTGTTGGCCACCCTAGAAATGTTGAATTGAACTATCTCTTCATCATTACTTGTTTATGGTGACAACTAATGGTATGTCATTGTCTGATGCTAGCTAGGCTCTTGAAATTATTTTTTTCTGCCTAGAGAGAGGGAGTGAGTAAGTGAACGAGTGAATGTGTCTGAGTATATATGTGTCTGACACTCCCATCTAAACCTCTTCCTGGCTGTGATATGAAAAATTATATTATAAAAGAAACACATATAGCTAATATCCATACAAGAAATGACTTAATACATCTAAAGAAGAGAATTGTAAATGTTATGATGAATTTTTTTTTATTCCATCTCAGTAACACGGGTCAGTACTTCTGGATAAGGTTTTCTAAACAGAGACCTTGTTCTCCTAGAGCCCTGTATTCCATGATTTCATCATAGTCCTCATGTAGACATCAATTGACTTCTTTTAAACAGGCTCATGTGACAGAAAACTTGAACTCTCTTGGAGTTCAGTTGTCCCCATAATTCCAAAAATACTTTGATTATAATCTATGCTGCTCAAATTCAGTTTCACATCAGGTTTATCACCTGCCATCTTTTTTTTTTCTCTTTTAATTTCCTTTTAAAATTTTGTTTTCTGTCATTTGCAGATAATTAGTATAGAAGGAATAATTTAAACTTTTAAAAGCTTCCATATCAGTTGAGGATTGATTAGAAATGAATATCATTTGTAGTTACCTAGGTATGAAATAGCTATGAAAAATAGTTCTGTAATTATTCAACACTGCCCTTTTTCTTAAGAGTAAAGCATTTCAATTTTTTTAATTTTTATTTTATTTTATTAGTTCAAATTAGGAACAAGCTTGCTTCAGATGTCAATCCCTTCTCCCTCTCCCTCCCCTCCCCCCCAACATCCCACCTGCCCCTAGCCATCCCCCCTCCACTCCCCAGGCAGGGTAAGGCCCTCAAAAGGGGCTCCCCAAAGTCTACCACATCATCCTGGGCCAGGCCTAGGCCCTTCCCCATGTGTCAGGGAAAGAGTTTCAATTTTATTCTTTTTTCTGCCTTTAAAAATTAAAGTATAATTATATTACTCCCCCCCTTTCTTCCCTCCAACTGCTCCCATGTTCCCCTTTCACTGACTGTCAAATTGATGGCCTCTTTTCACACACACACACACACATATATATATATATATATATGTGTGTGTGTGTGTGTGTGTGTATACATACATACATACATAAATACATACATACATACACACACACACACTTGCTCACTTGCTGCGTCTGTTTAGTGTGTCTTGTGTGTATATGATTTCTGGACTTAACATCAAATATGGAGTAGTCTGCCTTAGTTTTTAATGATGACCCAAAAGAACAGAGATTTCATTTTAAAAGACAATACTGGCTGGGCATGGTGGCACATGCCTTTAATCCCAGAACTGAAGAGGCAGGTGGATATTTGTAAGCTTGAGGCCAGCCTTGTCTACATAGTGAGTTCCAGCACAGCTAGGGCCATAAAGAGAGACCCTGTCTCAAAATAGCAACAACAAAAAGTGCTGAAATCAGAAAATATTTAGAGTGTAATGGATGATGCCAGTAGTCTAGCTACATGGCAGTTGATATGGGAAGGTCACTGGAGCCTAGAAGTTTCAGGTAAGCCTGGGCAACTTAGTGAAACACCATCTCAAAAAAAAAAAAACAAAAAACAAAAAACAAAAAACAAAACACCCTGCTATGATAATAATAAATGCTATTGTATGTTAATTTTAAAATATATAGGGAATTGCTGAAATTTTTGTTCTGTCTCCCAAGTTTTTCTTTCTTCTTAATTTAGGCATGTAAACTGCACTTATTCTTTATTCCTTAGTAGCTCATATGATGATAACCTTGGAATATTTTCATCTGTAGAAGTCTTAGAAGACTAAAACAGAGATCAGGGTTAAAGTTAGATTAAGTTCCCCACTTGTTCTAGTAATAAAAGAACCACAGGGTAAAACAAAATTCTTCCTGAATAACTACTGCACTCTCTTTGGCTATTGGAATAGACCTACATTTTTATTTTCTTCAGGCAGGAGTGAGGTAGTTGCATGTGGTAGTTGGTGCCTGGGATTTGGGAGGTAGAAGAGGATTAGGAATTGAAACTCAGCCTAGGCCATATATCTGTCTTAAAGCAAACAAACAATCAAACAGAACAAAGTGTGTGTGTGTGTGTGTGTGTGTGTGTGTGTGTGTGTGTGTGTGTGTGTTAGAAACTAAACTAACTGAAATCTCTTGAATTCTAGATGTGCACATTCAAATTCAAATATACTTTCCAGGAAAATATAACATGCAAAATCAAAGCACACCTATAAAATGTTCAAGTCAGTATAAGTATCATAGAATAATTTGGTTGTACTTGTAATTTAGTGAATTGAGTCCACTTATTATTTGTATAAGCAAAATATCACCACATGTCAGAGCTCAGCAGTTTCAGGATCCACTGTGAGTATTTGAAATCAGCTAAAGAAAGTGGCTTCCATAGTTTTGTCTGACCCAGGGAAACTCTCAGAATACCAGCTCCTGAGTGCTTGCTGACCAGGAAAGAGATGTATGGTTGTTTAAGATGGGGTTAGCACTGCCACAAGAAAGTTGTTATTTGTCTGTTTGCCAGAAATACTCATTTCTATGATATGACAACTGTGCAAAC